GGTGGCACATCTGTAATCCCAGCTACTTGGCGGCTGAGGTAGGAGAATTGCTTGAACCCAGGAGGTGAAGTTTGCAATGAACCGATATCACATCACTGCACTCCAGCCTGGGCAACAGAGTGAAACTCCATTGGAAAAAACAAAACAAAACACCTAACCAGTACTCCTCAAAACTATTATGATCATTACATGCAAGGAAAGTCTGAGAAAGCACCAAACCACAGGAGCCTAAGAAGACATGAAACTGAACATAATGTGGAATCCTGGGTGGGGTCCCGGCAAAGAAAAAGGAGAGCAGGTTAAAAACTAAACTGTGAATAAAGTATACACTTCAGTTAATAATAATATATCAATGGTGGCTCGTTAATTGAAAAAATATACCATGCTAACACAGGATATGAATAACAGGGGAATCTGCATATAGGGTATGCTAACTGTTTAATGATTCTTTCATCTATAATTGTTACCAAAAAATTAAGATTATTCTTTTTAAAACTATTGACAATATCAAAAAAGTACTTATTTACTGCAGAAAAATATGTAATTAACAAATTATGACTATTAAGCAATCAATATCAAATTCCATGTGCCTTTTCCCCAGACAATAAATTATTACATGGAAATATGTAACATGGCAAAGAACCAATTTTTTTTCTAAAAAATTTGCTTGTTTGCTGTTTTCCTAACAGATAGAGAGAAATTTCTCACTTAGTACCCTTAATGAGGACAGAATGTGATACTGGATATTACCAGTGCACTGACTTAAATGGGGTAATGAGACCTGGGATTGGAACACTCTGGGTCCCCAGGAAACTTAATCAAAAGGGTTAGATATTGGCCAGGTGCAGTTGCTCACACCTGTAATCCCAGCACTTTGGGAAACCAAGGCAGGAGGATCGCAGGAGCCCATGCATTCCTTCGAGCCTGCAGTGAGCCAATATCTCACCACTGCACTCCAGCCTGGGCGACAAAGCAACGCTCTGTCTCTAAAAAAAAGCAACAACAACAAAAACCCACAAAAGGGTTGGATATTGAATTAGCTATCCCCCTTCCAAAACAAAACAAAACTGGTTCTCAGGTGCAAACAAATGTAACTCTGCCCTTGGCTAAAATGCAGTAAATCTCTCCAGCTTGTGGGTGTGGGAGAGCTCAGAGAGTGAAGAACACTACTTTGGGCTGGCCCATGTAATAGCTGGATATTCCTGTGCACTGAATTTTGCTGGTCTTTACATCTTGGTTTCCTGAAACATCCATCTGCTTAATTAAAGAATGAGCCTAGCCTAGTAAGGCAAAGCACACCAAATCTGGCAGGTCCTAAAATAATACTGATTCATAGCAAGAGCTGGAATTTATGGAAGTCTTCATATGTACCATGCACTGCTCTCAGTATTTTAGATGTACTTTTTCAGAGCATGATGCTAACAGTATAGACTGTCTTGTTGGGATCAAAAGCCAGCTGTGTGACCTTATCAAGCGACTTGCTTCTCTGTACCTCAGCTTCCTCATCTGTAAAATTCTATATTAACAGTCCTCTTGTAAGGATTAAATGACTTACTATATGAAAGGAATAGATATTTTTATGCATAGTAATACATAGACCTGGCACACAGTAAATATGCTATTTGGGTTTTTTATTTTTTATTTTTTTGAGATAAGGTCTCACACTCTGTTGCCCAGGCTGGAGCACAGTGGCACAATCATATCATAGCTCACTGCAGCCTCGAATTCCTGGGCTCAAACAATCCTCCTACCTCAGCCTTCTTAGTATCTGGGACTATAGGTGCTGTCTCATCCAGCTATTTTAGTTTTAATTTTTTGTGGAGATAAGCCTGCACTATGTTGCTTAGGTTGGTCTCAAAATTCTGGGCTCAGGCAATCCTTCTGGCCTCCCAAAGTGCTGGGATTACAGAGGTGAGCCACTGTGCCCAGCTACTACTGTTATTAATGCTCACATCAATTCAATGAGGTATGTATATTATTAACCCCACTGAAATTGAGGAAATGGGGTACAGAGAGATAAAATAACTTGCTCAGGGCCACATCCTAGCTTGGATCTGAAGCCGTGAAGTCAAGTTCCAGAGTCCACATTTCTAGCCTACAGGCTACCACTACTTTTTGGAAAAGCAGTCAATGAAGAACAGGCTTTGGGGTATGGCAGAAAAGAAAATGCACAGAAGGGAGGGGACTAGGAAAAGGAGCTAGTGTGGATGGAAAGATGGGACTTCCATGTGGGAATGACAGACGGAAATGCTAGGAAAAAGGTCAGGCCTGAGGACAGATTTGGGGAAGGTATTTAGAAAGCTGAGGGTTAAAGTAATGAAAACGGATCTCAAATGGAAAAAGAACAACAAAAAGGAGCCAGGTAAGGAGGCTAAACTAGCAGAGAAAAAATAAAAGAATCAGAGAAGGAAATAGAGGCATCAATTAGACAGCTGAGAGGGACATTTGGACAGCTTAACATCCTTGCTGCGCTAGAAGGAAAAGGCCCCAGGCCTGCGTCCTCCCCAGTGCTGGGCTTCAAAGCCCAAGCCACAGAACTTCTTCTGGAATGCCTTTAGTTTTCTCTAACCACGAATATCAGTCTTGGCATCCAGTATCAACTCAGAATGCCCCCATTTCTGGGCTATTTCCCCTGAACATTTAATCATGTTTCCTAAGATCATGATCTTAGGATCAAGTTTATGATCAAGTTTAATCATGATTAAACTCCCCAAAGATGAAAATGACAGCATTCCTCTCTATATCCCCCGGGGTGCTGCACAGCATCCTGTACACAGGGATCAATAACGCTTGTGGAGGGTATCTTCTGGGCCTTCCCATCTTTGCCCCAAGTGTGACTATATCCTCTGTGAAGTCAAAGACTGCCTCATACCCCATTCTCCCCACCAAGCACCTACTGTAGCAGGAAGTATATGTTTAGCGCTGCCTCCAATATTGATCGCAAAGTGAGTAGGGTGAATTAAGAGTAGTCTGGGGATAGAAGAGGCGTATTCCTCAGCAGCCCCATGCTAAGCCCGACGCTGGGAAAAACTTTTGAGGTTCCAGATTCTTCATTGTTTTAGTTGGACGGAAAAGTACCTGGACAAAGTCTGGAAACATGCCTGCCATCTCTGAATCCAGAAGCCGACTGATGAGAAAGACAAACTTCATCACTCTCACCTGAGCGGACAGCAGATCCACAGCCATCCCTTCCTCCTCAGTCTTCCTGTCCAGGGAGAGCAGAGCGCGGACAAGGTGGGTCTGCAGAGGAAAAGGCGTCATGAGGAATTCTGGCGTCAGAAGGCTTGGAGAGGAAGTTACAATCGCTCATAATGTCCATCGGGCCACCCCACTTAATGATACAAACCAAGAAGAGTGTTTCCTAGGGCAACTTGCGAACCTCTATCCCTTCTCTGCATTAACCATACTTCTATTTCTGTACATTGATGCTTTAACATCCACCTTAGGGCCTCTCAGCTACCTCTAAGCAAACTGTGATTCACCCAAGGATGTCTGGAGTCCTTAGCTAGCTTTAAAGGGAAGACCCTAACAGTTGCAATGAATATCCGGTTTCATGAGGGTGCCACTTTCCAGCCTAGCTAGCTGATCCTAAGCCTGCCTGCCCTGCCTCGCTTTTTCCTCCCTGTAGAAGCTATGATTAAGAGGCCTCTCCGTATTCCCACCCTCGTGACAGACTCCACTGCTTGCCCTGAGTGGCTCTTCCGTGGAGTGCTCTGTTCTCCCCAAGAAACTGTGAGCATAATCCAACCACTAAGCTTTCCCAGCCTCTTACTAGATCTCCGTCGGGCCTTACCACACTTTACCCAAGGTAACAGGATTAACACACTGTCCCCACCCAAGATACATGCCAGCGTGTTGCTGTCCCTCCTAATACTCCACGGGTGGCACCTCTAATAGCATCCACAGCCAGAAACAGCCATCGCTCCCCGACAAACCCCAAGGGAGAGGGGTGGGAACCCTGCCTGTCCCACGGAGAGGAAGGGAAGAGGCTGCCTGGGGCAGCCAGAGAAGTGTCAGCGCCTCCAGGCCTGCTTCTACAGCGACTCCTCAGGGTGCCCCGTGGCATGGAGACAACCTGAGGCTCTGCCAGGCCAGCTCCAGCGGACGCCTTGGCCAGCCCAGGAGAGGCTGCCATGCAAGGCCTCGGTTACTCGGCGACGCCCACCTCTTCCTAGGAAGCGTTGAGTGCTTTCCAAGCAGCATTTTTAATCTTCACATTTACAGATGTGACCAAGACTGAGAATTAGGGGGTCGTGACCTGCCCAAAATCACCTAAACGGAAAGTAGTAGAGCCAGGAAAGAAATCCTGATCTAAGCCTCAGGCCCCAGTTACACTGGGCAATGACCTCGCCACTCTGCCTCAGTTTCCTCCTGGGAGAGCGGGAGCCAGCGTACCACCACCCTGTTTAGCAGAGATGCGCGGAGTTTGTTCCGGCGAGGCGCTAGCCAAGTGTCTGGCACCCGAGCGCTCTCGGCGGGTATCAGCTGCTGCTTTTATTATTTCCATTATTGAGAAGAAAATGCACAGAAGAAAATCGCAGAATGAGCAGTGACAAAAGGCTGGCATCCCCACCTCAGCAGCCCGGCGCACCCAGCTCACCTGGTGGGGCGCTCCCTCCTGCGGGTCTCCGGCTGCCCAGGCCGCTCGCGGACGGCGTCCCGGGACCCTGTGGCAAAGCGCGCCGAGCCGCACAGGGCCGATCCCGATGCCCCGACGAGGCTGCACGCCACCCGCTCGTTGAAGAGGCGCGGATCCACCCCGGCGGAGATGAGACAACTGAGAACGCCTCAGCCCGGGCCGGCAGTCCTAGCCAAGCCGGGAGGGCCACAACCAGGAGAACCCCAGAAAGGCCGCGAGCTATCCCCGAAAGGCCGCGAGCTATCTCCGAAACCCCGCCAACCCCGGGAGAACTACCACTCCCGACATGCCTCGACCCCGTGCCGACTACACTTCCCAGGGGGCGCAGCGGCGAGCGCTGTGACTTCCGGGAGAGGAACCGCCTCCACAAGCAGGAGCTCTCAAGGGTGACAGTCCGCGTGGGGTTGCCATGCGAGGCAGTACGCACGCCACATACAAGGCAGGAGGTCTCTCGCTGCTGGCCATGCTGCCTACAGCCCGCGCACTTGTTAGGTAAGCAGAATGGTTTGAAAAAACAAAACCCGAAATTAGATGCGTTTAGGAGGATCAGTGTGCTGTAGCTCCCACCTCTGGTTGTGATTATTTTTCTCTTTTGTTGATACGAAATAATTTACATAATTTATAGGGTCCATGTGCTTGTTACGTGCATGGACCGTGTAATGATCAAGTCACAGTATTTGGGGTGCCCATCACCTTAAGCATTTATCATTTTTATGCGTTGGTATCATTTCAAGCCCTCTCCTCTATTTACTTTTAAATATACATAATGTTATTGCTAAGTAGACTCACCCTAGTCTGCTATTAAACATTAGAACTTATTTCTTCCATCTAACTGTATATTTGTACCCATAACCAACCTCTCTTCATGACCCTTCCTTTCCTTCCTTCCTGGCCTTTGGTGTCTGTCCTTCTATTGTCTGTGTCCATGAGATAACGTTTTTTAACTCCAGAATATAAGTGAGAACATGCAGTACTTGTCTTTCTGTATCTGGCTTATTTCACGTAACATAATGACTTTCAGTTCCATCCATGTTGCTGTAAATGCATTATTTTATTCATTTTTATGGCTGAATAGTATTCCATTATGTCTATGTAGGACATTTTTCTTTATCCATTCTTCTATTGCTGGACACTTAGATTGAGTCCATATCTTGGCTATTGCGAATAGTGCAGTGACAAATGTGAGTGCAGGCATCCTTTTCATATACTGATTTCTTTTCCTTTGGATAGATAACTAGTAGTAGGGTTGCTGGATTGTATGGTAGTTCCATTTTTAGTTTTTTGAAAAAATATCTCCCCACAACAACCATAGTGGTTGTACTAATTTACATTCCCACCAACAGTGTGTAAGAGTTCCCTTTTCCCCAAATCCTCACCGGCATCTGTCATTTTTTGTCTTTTTAATAATAGTCATTCTAACTGGAGTGAGCTTTATTTAATTACAGGTTGTTAGTAACCAAAACAGCTTGATGTTGCTATAAAAATAGACACACCCATGGAACAGAATAGAGAACCCAGAAATCACTGCACCCGCTTATAACCAACTGATTTTCAACAAAGGTGCCAAGAACACACACTGAGGAAAGGACTATGTTTAATAAATGGTTCTGGGGAAAATTGGATAACAATATGCAGAAGAATGAAATTGGACCCCTTCTCTCTCAACATATATGAAAGTCCACTCCAGATAGATTATAGACTTAAACATAAGACCCCAAACTATAAAACTGATAAAGGAAACATAAGGTCATTTCTTCAGGACATTAGTCTAGGCAAAGATTTTTCTTTTTGTTGCCTTTTTTCTTTTTGTTGTTTCTTTTTGTTTTAAGGTCTATGGCTAAGACCTCAAAAGCACAGACAACAACAACAAAAAAGACAAACACAACTACATTGAACTAAAAAGTGCACAGAAAAAGAATAGATTGAAGTGACAACTTCTTGAGAGAAAATATCTGCAAATTACTCACTCAACAAGGGACTAATGCCAGTATATACAAAGAATTCAAATAACTCAACAGGTTCGTGACCAGCTGGGCCAATGTGACAAAACCCTATCTCTACTAAAAATACAAAAATTAGCCAGCTGTGTGGAACATACCTGAAATCCAAGCTACAGGGGAGGCTGAAGCAGAATTGCTTGAACCTGGGAGATGAAGGTTGCTGTGAGCCCAGATTGTGCCACTGCACTCCAGCTGGGCAACAGAGTGAGACAACATCTCAAAAAACAAAAACAAAACAAAACAAAACAAAACAAAAACCCAACACCAAAATAACTCAACAGTATACAAACAAACAATTCCATTAAAAATGGGCAAAGGGCTGGGCACAGTGGCTCATGCCTGTAATCCCAGCACTTTGAGAGGCAGAAGTGGGTGGATCACTCGTGCCCAGGAGTTTGAGACCAGCTTCAGCAACACAGTGAGATCTTCTCTTTACAAAACATGAACGAAATTAGCCAGGCTTGCCAGGACAGGCCTGTAGTCCCAGCTACTCAGGAGGCTGAGTGCAGAGGATTACTTGAGGCCAGAGGTTGACACTGCAGTGAGCAGTGATTGTACTGCTGCACTCCAGCCAGGGTGACAGAGTGAGACTCTGCCTCAAAAAAAAAAAATAGGCAAAGGACATGAACGGACGTTTCTCAAAAAGACATTCAAATGACCAACAGGTATATGAAAAAATGTTCAACATTACTAATCATCGGGGAAATGCAAATCAAAACCACAAGATAGTTATGTTATTTTAAATTAGTTTAATGTGTACCATACACAGAAGATAATGTATGCCTAGGCACAGTTTAATAATAAAACAGATACCCACATCCAACACTTGGGTTACAAAAGAGAAATTTACCCAAAATTTGGAATCCTTGTTCACAATGCTCCCAAGTCATTTTCCTGAGTTGCTTTCAGCATTCCTTTGTTTGATAATTACTCCACATGCATGTGTCCCTAAATATTGTTTACTTTTGCAACATTTTAAATATTTATATAAAGACAACCTGTTATATGCATACAATATACAATATGTATGTATATAAAGGTAATCTGCTATATACATACATATACAATTGTATATTTTCAATTGTATATTGTATTAAACTTTCATACAATGTACAATATGTATGCATATAGCTGATTCTCTTTATATAAAAATGTATATACATATCTATATACACCTATCTGTATATATATGCATATGTATGTATCATGTGTATATATATATGCATATATGTATCATGTATATATATATATATATTCTTCTATGACTTATGTGTTCAACACAAACACTTTTAGATTAGTCTACCTTGATACATGCAAAGTTCATTCATTTTTATTGCTGTGTAGGATTTCATTATTCATTCAACAACAGAAATATATTGAACACTTATCCTGTGCCTGGCATTGAGCTAGATGGTAGAAATACACCAGTGGGCAAAACTGGCAAAACCTGTATACAAATGCAGCTTGAATTCTGCTGGAGGAGAGGGAAGAAAGATAATAAGAGAATAAATATTTGAGCTAGAGATGAGTGTGAATGTAATCAAAATACTTCACTCCAAAATATACTTCCCTGACATATCTTGCGATGGCTATTCAGAGAGCTAGCAGACAGGAATAGCCCTGAAAAGCTGTCTTTTGTGGAGGAGACTTGCATCTGTAGAGGAAATGAAGTGACATAAATAACAGATTTGAATAGGCTTTCTCTGAGCCTCTCCTTTGTCCAGATCTGGGAAAGATTAACTGGGAGTCTGACACCTTTGAAAGTTTGGTGCAGAAACTTTAACCATGGGCTACCATCTATCCTTAGGCTGCTACCTGTGCAGCTTCATCTGCATGATAAGACTACCTTTTCTTCAGGTCTTTCCTCTTCTCTCCCTCATATAACCTATCTTAGCCATGATCCAAGCCCCTGTTCTTCCTGTAACTTCAAGATAGTATAAAAACATCTACTATCTTGCCTTTCTTTTTCTATATTTTTTATCACTCCTGTGCTTATATTCACTTTAATAAAATTTATAGGTCTTGTTTTCCTATTAAACTGTGTATCAGTTGTTTCATAGACTCAAATTATCAAAACTTCAGGAGGAAAATTTAAACTTCCCTATAAGTGCAAATAAGAATTTTAAAAGGGAACAGGAACTTGGAGGGTGGGAGAGTTTGCAATTTTAAACAAAGTAGTTAAGAAACATTTCATTGAGAAATGTTTCTTTGAAGAAAGACCTGCAGAAGATGAGGGATGAGCCAAGTTAAGTATCTGTGGGTGAAGCAGGAGCAGCAGGGAACAAATCTATTGAACACTGAACTGTGGAAGGAAGTGGCTTTTTATTCAGCTGGGAGCTGCAGGGGGTCTACAGCCTTATTCACTGAGCTCCCCGAGCTGCAGCTTCTCTGGCCTTTTATAGGCTTACAATGCTAAAGGGGAAACTGAAGCAGAACTATGTCATTGTCCATTTGCTGGACATCTGACCTTACAATCTTTTGGCTTCATTGATTTGTTAATTCATATGCAGTGTGATCAGGGACCAGCAAGGGATGGGGGCTTACAGAGATAAGACAAAAGCAACAAGCTGCTTGTTGGCAGAGGTGTTTCCAGGAGGGAGCCTGGTCTGTGGAGACTTGGGGGTGTGAACCAGTGCTGAGCTCTCACAATTGTTGAAAGGTGAAAATGATCCAAATGTCAACCAATGAATGGATAAACAAAATATGGTATATACATAAAATAAATATTATTAAGCCTTAAATAAGAAGGAAATTCTGACATAGGCTGTAACATGAATGAACCTTGAAGACATTGGTATATGGTATATGAAATAAGCCAGATATAAAAGAACAAATATTATATTATTCCACTTATAAGAAATACCTAGAGTAATACAATTCATAAAGACAGAAGGCAGCATAGAAGGTACTAGAGTCTGGGAAGGAAGAAATGAGGAGTTACTGCTTAATGGGTACAAAGTTTCTGTATGAGATAATGAAAAAGATCTGGAAATAGATTGCACATTTAAAAATGGATGAAAGCATAAATTTGATGTGTATTTTATCACTTTCCATTTTGATAAAGTATACACAGAATGTGAGGAGGGAGCACGGGAAGGTCATGTCTTCAGTGAAGTGCTAACAGAAAGGTAGAAGTAGGGAATCCACGCATCGGACAGATAAGCAGCAAGGGGAAGAAATGTAAGATCCTAGAAGAAAAACAGAATACCTCTAATTCCCACCTCCCCCACAACTCCCACGTCATCTAGCCAAGAAATCATACTTTATTTACACTGATAAAAGAACACTGGAATTCAAATCTTGGGTATAATCCCAAGCTTGCTGTGATAGAAAGGACACAGAAATCAGCTTGAAGGGGCTCCCAAAGGCCAATCCTGGAACAATTTCAGCACCAAAATAAACAATTGATATTAACAGATTATAGGCCATTGAATAAAATAGAAAAACATGCTTCCAGAATCATAAAAACAAATATATACAGAGAATATAAAA